TACAGAAGCAGAGGAAAGGAAGAAACGACTGATGGCCCAGATGAAATTAAGGCTCCAGGGAGAAGGCAGGACTCAGGCGGGCCCCCAAGGCTTGGGCTTCTCAGACAAGAAGGGAGAGGGAGCAGAGAAGTGAAGGGAAGGCTAGAGAATTAGGGCCCCAACAGAGAAAGCTGAACCTGACAGCATATTACTGAGCAGAAATATGTGAATAAATTAGAAAATCAGGAGCCAGAGAGAACAAAACCTGCATGAACAGGGCAAAGAGAACAGCGAGTGCCAATGGCCAACCACAAACTTTTATTAGCTGCATCTTTTCTCTTTTGGAAAAAGTGCACTGGGGCAACAGTATGTTTAGAAAACATGACATCTACTCTCAAAAATACTAAAAAGTGGGGCTGGCCCTGTGGTGAGGGGTTAAGTCCAGCGTGCTCCACTTTGGCGGCCTGGGTTCGCAGGTTTGGGTCCCAGGCACAGACCTACACCACTCATCAGGCCATGTTGTGGTGGCACCTCACATACGAAATGGAGGAAGACTGGCACAGCTGTTAGCTCAGGGCTAATCTTCCTCAAGCCAAAAAAAAGAAAGAGGAAGACTGGCACAGATGTTAGCTCAGAGCAAATATTCCTCACACACACACACACACACAAAACCTAAAAAGACTGACACAAATGTGACTATATTTCTATAATATAATCTGATTATTAATTATAGTGACATTCTTCAGAAGAGCATTAAGCGAATTGATGAACATTATTAATACCTAAAAAGACCTAGAAATGAGGGAAAAAAATCAATACTTTTTAATGGACTAATAATGTTTAACAGAGGTATAATCAGTTTACAAAGAACGCTAAGTTTCTTAAACCCTCAGAAATGGGACCAGTTACATATAAACACATATTTATGAAATACATTCAAATTTTAATAACCAAATTTTTTAAATGATTCCTTAAAGATTAAAAAAAAAGTTTACCTATATTCTAACCAAAACTGAACTGCGAAAAATTACAACATAAAACAGTCAAATTAACATTCAGAATATGGTACTGGGATTTTTATGACAGTTTTTATGTGAAAAATCTTCTCAAAGTCTTCATTTATCCACAAGCAGCAAAGAAACAGAACAAAAGAAACACTGTGATTGCTCTGGGGACTTTTTACCAGCGTGTTTCTGAAACACACAGTCAATTCATGCCATTTTATGCCAAGAAAGTTTTTTTCCCTCAAAATACAATTTAAAATACTCTCTAAATTTAACTCAATATTAATTTGAGTTAAATTTATGTTTAATTGCAATATTAAAATATAACTTACAGGCCTCTCGAAGAAAACATTTTTTTATACCTTTGAATATACAAAGAAACCATCTTTAGGTTTACTCAGAAGCTAAACTATATAAAAGTAAAGCCTTCGAAAGAAAAACTAAGCAGCAACGTTCCCAAACATTTAAGCTGGAAGGGCGCTTGCCCAGAGGCCTGTCAGGGAGCACGTCCCCAGGCGGAGGCAGGGCGAGGACACTGGCACACGCAGGGTCCAGCCTCGCCAGTGCAGCCCCAAACGTGCAGTGCAGCGGCAGGCTCGGGAACAAAGAATGTGTAACCTGATCTCTCTCCCTCTCTCCTCCTTCACTGCAACATTTAGAAAGTAATTTAACCTCTCAAAATGGCATCTTTGTGCTGCTGAGGGAAAAACGTCTATGCGCTAATACAGTGTCAGGGAAAAAAGAAATCAAATCACTTTTTTAAAATGCTTTTTACTTAATATAACTCATATTTTTGTGTCAAACACTGAGTACACAGACAAACCAATTATAAATGAAGACTTTATTTTTGCTACTTGAATATCTACTACCCAACATTAAAAAATTCAGCTCAAAGGGGCCAGCTCCATGGCCAAGCAGTGCAAGTTCCATGTGCTCCACTCCGGCAGCCCCGGTTCGTGGGTTCGGATCCTGGGTGCAGACCCACTCATCAGCCATGTTGTGGCAGCCACCCACATACAAAGTAGAGGAAGACCGGCACAGGTGTTAGATACGGGCTGATCTTCCTCAAACAAAAAAAAAAAAAAAAGGAGGAGGATGGGCACGGATGTTAGCTCAGGGCAAATGTTTCTTACACACACACACAAAAGGACATAAGTCTGAAAATCTATTAAAAAAAAACAATAAAAACCTGACAAAAAGTTTGCTAGCCAGGTATCAAAGGATGTGTTGAACACTCTCACCACTGACAAATATTTTTAAAAGTATTCTAAAAATAACACCACAAAAATTTAATAGAATTTTTATACATTTCAAAGCACTTTTACATTCTTGACAGAATTTGATCCTCACAACCTTTTGAGTTAAGTGGTCATAAATTTGCTTAGCTGAGACAGTCATAGAAAGGTTAGTGGCCGTCTCTGGACTTCAGTCCATAGCCCAACACCGTTATTTCCATTTCAATACGTACTAGTAAGCATTACTGTCCCCCATTCTACCAGAGAAGAAACGTGCGGGAGTGAAGAATGTGCCCGAGGTCACAATGCCGACACACAGCAGGTCCAGCTCCGAAGTCCTCCACTTCACCTCCCCTGCGGGCCGCATATTCATCCAAACAAACAGATAAAATGAACCCGCCAATGTCTTATAACTGACTAAAAACCACCTGTGGCAGCAGAACAGCGGTCCCCTCAAAGACAGCCTCAGCCTCCTCCCCGGGACCTGGGACTACGTTACCTTGCGTGGCAAGGGGACTTTGCAGATGTGACTGGGGTACGAACTTGAGACGCAGAGATTATCCTGTTGGGCTCGACCTAATCACGAGCCCTCAAAAGCAGAGACTCTTTCCCAGCTGTGGTCAGAGGGAGAAAGAGACAATAAAGCAGCAGAGACGTGAGCCCTGGCTGGCTTTGGAGGGGAGTGGGGGAGGCCCGAGCCACATGGTGGGCGGCCTCCGGAAGCTGGCAATGGCAAGCGTCAGCTTCTGCCCCGGAGCGCCCAGGAAGGAGCGCGGCCTGTGCACGCCGGAGTCCAGCCTGGCAAGACCCGGACGGGATTCTGCGAGAGAAACTCATGCTGTTTAGACCGCTAAGTGTGTGCTAATGCACTCCAGCAGCAACAGCAAACGAACACAGAAGCTGGACTATACAAGTGGCTGCTCCAGACAGTGTCTGCAGTCCTCCAAAATGCCTAAGTTACATCCTAACGCCCGATGTGATGGTATCTGGGAGGTAACCGGGCTGTGAGAGTGGAGGCCTCATGAATGGGACTGAAGTTCCCCTAAAAGAGACCCCAGAGGGCTCCCTAGCACCTTCCGCCACGTGAGGACAGAGAAAAAGACGGCCGCCTTTTCCAGGACAAGCAACGAGGAAGCCGGCTCTCACCAGACACTGAACCTGCTGACGCCTCGACCATGGACTTCTTAGCCTCCAGCCTGGGAGAAATAAAACTCTGTTGTTTATAAGCCGCCCGGTTTATGGTATTTTGTAACAGTAGCCTGAATGGACTAAGATAACTGACCACTTTGTATTTTAGATCAACTGAATATTGTCTTACAATACTAAAAAACAACCTGTCCATGAGAAAATCTGTAATGAGACATCCTACTGTATAGACGAAATAAAAACACAGGTCGCCGTCCCTGTGTGGCTGGGCACGACTGGTCGCTAACAACATTCTGGCCCAACACTACATCTTTTCACTCTTCTCCCTCCTTTCCCAGCAAGTCAAATGTAAATGCAAAACTCTGACATCCCAAAACACACATCCAACTAGCTTTCTTCTGCCTTGTCCACACCAGCGTGTGTGCACATACACAAAAGACAGGAGGGCGGTCAAAGGGCACAGAGAAATCAGGGAAAAGACTGCACTGATGACCAAAAGAGAAGGGGCTCAACTAACCAGAGGGGGCAGAAGAGTTTTCAGAAAGGATCAAGGGAGTGGGCTGCTGAACAGGGTATGCAGCACTGAACACAGTTCAAAGACTATTTGCCAAGGAACCATGCTGGACAGAGAACAAATACGTTAGTCCTTTGACAGGCACTATTATTTTTATTTATTTTTCTTCTTCTTCTCCTCCCCAAAGCCCCTGAGTGCAGAGTTGTATATTCTAGTTGTGAGTGCCTCTGGTTGTGGCATGTGGGACGCCGCCTCAGCATGGCTTGACAAGTGGTGCCTGTCCATGCCCAGGATCGGAACTGGCGAACCCTGGGCTGCAGAAGAGGAGTGCGTGAGCCTAACCACTCAGCCACGGGGCGGCCCCAACTTAGGAACTATTATTATCCCATTTCACAGATGGGGAAACTGAGCACAGAACATTATATAACTTAGGAAAGTCACACAGCTAATAAGTGGCAAAAGCAGGATTCAAATGCAGGGACCTGGACTTCGGAGCTGGTGCAGTTCACTGGTAAATTATGTTGCTGTCCAGAGCGTAAGCCCCTCAACTCAACCCCTTTATGCAGAACAAGAATAATAAATTTTACCTCAAAGATCTGGGGAAGATTAAAGAGATAACAAGTGTAAAGAACTTCGGAAAGTACCTGGTATGCAGTAATCGTTCAATAAATGTTAGTGACCTGCACTAAGCACAAGGTGCTATGCTCAACATTTTCCTTACTTGATCTTATTTAATCCTCACAACAGCCCAGGGAGCTGTATCTTTGTTTCTGGTTATGGAAAAACTACTTAAAGAGGTTAAAGATACACAACCAAAAAGCGACAGAGAGAATTCAAATTTGAGACCGACTTAACTCACAAAGTGTAAGCATACGGCCAGGGGCCTTCAACTCCTGGACAAGCTAATTGTGAAAACTCACATAATCCCCCCCACATTTTTAAGTTGACATCAAAAATCTTTCACTGCTGGTCATGTAAGTGCAAAGAATATGATTTCCGGCATATTGTAAATACTGACATTTTAAATAAATCTGTAACGTCACTCTTGAATCTGTTCAACACAATCCAAATGTCAGTGTGATCTGACACCCACCAGGATCCATTTTAAAATAAAAATTTCACCTTTTTTTCTCCGTGAACTCATCTTTTCATTCCATTTGCTCTGCATATAAGTTTTTATGCTTGAAGGTCTACCATCAGTCATCCATTTCTGCAGTTTAAATGGAAATATATTTTAATTAATCATATTAATAAGCCTTGAAGTGTCTAAAAAATGATGTGGGATTAATTATCATTACTATTACCATATACAACTGATTTAAATGAAAAATGTTACAGATTTTATATTAATTAACAACCTTAAAGGTAAAAATTTTACCGGAAATGTATGTTAATGAGATGGATTTTTTTTAATTAGTTCGTTCACCTGTTCCAATAATTGTTGTTAAAATGAGATGATCCAGCATATTCCTACTTTTCTGCTTTTGTTTTTTGGCTTTTTTAAAGTAAGAACTGAGAAATTTTGTTCATATAAATAGATGAATAGTAATGGAAGGAATTTTGTCAGTAGTCGCACAATTTTAAAAATTCCTTTTCAGTTATTTGTTGAAAAATTCCATAGTGATTTACCATCAAAATATTTTTAATGACTTAGCAGCTAACAAATTGGCTATTTTTGAACACTGGAACTGAAAAGTCCTTCAATTTTGTCTGAAGCAAAAAAGTGGAAACCATTAAAGGATTTGTTCCCCAGAGATTAAAGCTACTTGTTTCTCAATACTGACAGTAACATCTGAAACTGCCACTTCAGGGGTCCCTGAGGCTTTGCTGAGCTTTTGGAAATGTCGTTCACATACCATAAAATTCACTCTTTTAAAGTGTACAATTCAGCAATTATCACCTTATTCACAAAGCTATACAAGCATCACCACTACCTAATTCCAGAACATTTTCATCGCCCTAAAAAAGAACCGTGTAACGGTTAGCACTCACACTCAACTCCTCCCCTCCACCCAGGCCACAGACCTACTTTCTTTCTCTGTGAATTTGCCTATTCTGGACATTTCATATAAACTGAATCATACAATGTGTGGTCCTCTGCGCCTGGCTTCCTTCACTTAGCATAATGTTTTCAAAGTTAATTCAGGCTGCACATTGAGTCAGTATTTCACTGCACACACAGACCATGTTTTACCTGTTTATCAGCTGACAGACATGTGGGTTGTTTCCACTTCTTGGCTGCTATGAATAACACTGCTGTGAACTTTCGCCTACAAGTTTTTGGGTTAGTTATAAGTGTACTTTATGTATTCTGGACACAAGTCACTTATTAGACACACGATTTGCAAATATTTTCTCCCATTCTGTGGGCTGTCTTTTCACTCTCTTGATGGTGTCCTTCGATGTAAACAGGTTTTTAACTTTGATGAAGTCCAACTTAACTATTTTTTCCTATGATTGCTTGTGCTTCTGATGTCATATCTAAGAAACCACTGCCTAATCCAAGCCCACAAGCATTTAGACCTTTCTAAGAGTTTCACAGCTTTAGCTCTTACGTTTAGGTCTTTGATTTATTTTGAGTGGATTTTTGCATATGGTATGAGGTGGGGGTCCACCTTCGTTCTTCTGCAGTTGGAGACCCCGTTGTCCCAGCACCCTGTCTTGGTGTCTTGGAATTGTCTTGATATCCTCTTCTACCCTGAGGTATTTCCACCACAAGGCAAATGCATCGTGGTGAGAGTAGAGACAGAGGAAGAATTATGCTATCCTTTTGTAAAATGGAAAAAGGCAATGGCGAAAAGCAGTGTTGTAAGGAAGAAACTGCTTGAAAGACTGGTTCACAGAAAGATCAGTTTTAGGAACGAGCGCATGTGGAAGTTTAGGGTCTGGAAATTGATGCACTTAAAATTATCCATGTGCCGTGTACCTCCAGGAGTTTGTGTCTCCACTCCAGGTCCAAGACCAACGTTTGAATACTGCTCTATCCTACTGCCTCCTCAACTCTGGGGGGAAAGTATCATTTGTGAACAATTTGTTACATTTCAATTGCTTGAATAATAAAATGAGACAGGGTTTAGGCGGAAGTTAGTGGTAAGAGGAAGCCTACAGGTTTTTCGCCCTACACCACTCAGCTAAATAGAAAAGTTCATTCCCATTTCCCATGAAAGATATGTAGTTCAACATACACATTAACAGAATGGAATTCCTTTCAAAATTTTATTTTATTAATGCAAAAGTAACAATAACAAAAAGAACTAAGAAATTCTGCCTTGAGTCCAGTAGTTTATTCCCCTTGTATGTAGGCTCCCTTGAAACAAACCCTAGCTAGACCAGGGCTATGGTATGTCATCACTGAACAGAAATTTTAAGGTCAAACCCTTAGCCCCACGGTAAACAACCTCCTTTCCCCCTAAAATGTATATTTTGTCAAATTCTTTTCCCCTGAGACTGATCCAATTTATGGTACTGGCAAAAGAGATGTGCTATCCATAGCCTCTTATCACATAACTCTGCCAGCTAATAGGTGTGTAGTGTAACTTTGGGGCTTTTTCATTTCCATGCCTTCAGTTGGGATTCAGCGAAGACAGCATTTTTGCATATGATACTTTACTAAATATCTCTGCCCACGTGAACTAACTGCTCACCACCTTCTACTCCTAATTTAAGTACCTACCCAACAAATCTGTATATTTTATTTTGGATTAAAAGTTTCCATCTGTTTGGTTATGTGTTTCATACCCCACCATTGTTTTCCATTGTAAATTTACCTTACTGGTTTTTACCATGTAAAAGTTAATTCTTTTTTCAAACTAAAATGCAAGTATCCAAACGTTAATTAGTGACCGCTTTCTCCACTAGCGTATTGTTACAGGTCTATTATGTGCTAAACAAAAATGTGACTCTGTTTCTGTACTCTTATTCAATTTGCCTAATTATTCCATTTTTGAAAGCCAGTATCAGTTATTCTACCTCACACGGGTGTGCTCTAAATTGAGATAACACATAGTTTAAAAGAGTATGAAATCTATAATGCAAACATTAGATGGCATTTTTATTTGTAATTTTTAACCTGATATCATTCACAGAATGATAGAGATGACGTGTTAACCCAACAAAAACTGATTATTTAATAAAGAGCTCTGAGAAACTGGCTAGCCATCTGGCCTTAAACAAAAAAATTGAGCTCTATCTCACTCATTAGGCCAAAAGTAAATTCTAGATTTATAAGATATTTAAAGTAGAGGAAAATAGTTTTGTTTTTGGTTTTTAATATTCTCAGACAAGGGGAAGTTATTCTACGCATGACACATTTAAATTACTGAGGGAAAGAATGGTAAGTTCCTTTAGGAAAAGTTACATTTCAGCTGCCTAGTAGACATCCAAGTGGAGGATAAATCCACATTTCTGAGGAGGGGTTCAGGCTGGGCGTCATGAACACACAGGTGGTTTCAAAGCCTTGAGGTCAGGTAAGATCAACAAGAGAATGAGTATGGCTGAAAAAGAGGTCTAAGGACTGAGCCCCAGAGGGATCCAAGAGAAAACGACTCGGGTGGAAACTAAGAAGGAAGTGCAGTCCTGGAAGCCAAGTGAAGAAAGTGTTTCCAGGAACACAGAGCAAGTGCCCACCTGTGTAAAATGCTGTGCGTAGGTCCAATAATTCAAGATGAGAACGGAAGGGTCATGGTAACCTTCACAAGAACAGCCGAGGCAGGGCAGGGCACTGGAAGGGAAAGCCTCATTAGAGCAGGCAGACCCATAAGATATGGGAGGAGAAAAACTGGAAACAAAGGATAGACACTTCTTTCAGAAAAAAAAGGGAGGGGCCAGCCCAGTGGCTGGGTGGTTAGGTTCACACCCTTCGCTTCAGTGGCCCAGAGTTTTGCCAGTTCGGATCCTGGGCGTGGACATGGCACCCGCTCATCAAGCCATGCTGAGGTGGTGTCCCACATAGCAGAGCCAGAAGAAACTACAACTAGAATATGAAACTATGTACTGGGGGGCTTTGGGGAGAAGAAGAAGAAGAAAAAAAAAGAAGAAGATTGGCAACAGATGAGTTCAGGTGCCAATCTTTAAAAAAAAATAGGGGAGGAATGGAGCATCAGTTAGAGGGGAAAGTGGAGTCAGAAGAGGTTTGGCTGTTGTTTAAGATGAGAGAAGTAAGAGCATTCGGTGTGCCGATGAGAATGATCCTGCACCATGTGAGAGAAGGGATGGGATTACAGCACAATAGAGCTTGTGGCCCCAGCTGGAAGCCAAGTCAGTGCATCCCATAATACAGAGGAAATCAGAATACAGGGAGAGCAGACAAAGACAGATGGACAGGTGTAGCAGCAAGAGCCTTATGGATGTTTTCTTCTTATGGCATCTATTTTCTCAGAGAGATGAAAAGCAAAGTTATATACTGAGAGGAAAATACGCAGAAAGCAGTGTTGGAGGTTTGAGGAGGTTTAAATGATCACCGAGGTCAGACTGGGAGAGTAAATGGACTAGAAACTACTGCTGAGCAACACTAAGGGCTCATCTGACTTTAGTGATCATTAACTGGAAGTAAGACCACTCAGCAGTTAATTCTCCACCCTTCCAGCAGCAAAAGTAAAAGTGTATGATGCACGCAAATAAGAAGCAAACACTGACAAAACTGAAGAGAGAAACAGACAGTAACACAATAATAGCAGGAGATTTCAATAATGGATAGAACCACCAGACAGGAGGTCAATAAGAAAACAGAGGATTTGAACAACACTAGAAATCAACAGTAGGAAAACTGGAAAATTCACAAATAGGTGAAAGTCAAACAACAAACTCTTGAACTAACGGGTCAAAAAAGAAATCACATGGGAAATCAGAAAATATCTTCAGACAAACGAAAACGGAAACATACCAAAACATATGGGATGCAGCAGAAGCAGTTCTAACGGGGAAGTTTACAGTGGCAAATGCCTACAGTTAAAAAAGAAGGGAGATCTCAAATCAACAATCTAACTTTACAACTCAAAAAACTAGAAAAAGAAGAACTAAACTCAAAGTTATAAGACACTAACAAAGATTACTCCAGAAATAAATGAAACAGAGAACAGAATAACAATAGAAGAAAAGAATGAAACTTGGAGTTTGTTTTTTGAAAAGATCAAGTAAATGGACAAAATTTTAGCTGGACTAACCAAGAAGAGAGACGACTCAAATAACTAAAATCAGAAATGAAAGAGGAAA